TTCACCCAAAACTTGCAAAATCAACCAGCTCAAACACATGGAATCCATTCAATGAACCACATTTTTAGCATACAACCCAAAAATCAACTCTTTTTCAACATGCAACCATCAACACCTAAAAATCCCAAATTTTCACCATTTTACCCGAAACCCCGAAAATGCAATTTTCTTCAAATCAGACCATCATTCTCCAAGAATCAAACAACCTTTGAGTTTCTAAACTTATTTCAACCAATCCACAAGAAATCTAGCTTCCCTTACCTAGGAGGAGAAGAATTTCGAGCTTCCAGGAAAGAGGAGGAGAAGAAAAAGAGAAAGCTTGGAAATGGAAAGCTCCGGATGCCTCTAATCAACACCTACAGCCACCAAGGAATTTAGAATCTGAACAGGGCAAGTGAATGGGAAGGAAAGAGCGAGAAGGAAGGTTACGTTGAGAGGGAGGGAAATGAGAAATGGAGCTCAATCAGAGAGTTCTAAGCTTTCTCATGCCCAACATGGAGAAAATATCGCCCGGCGCTGGTTTGGCAAAGACTCCTCAAGGGAATCTTGCCCGGCGTGGTAAGTGTCACGCTTGATGTATTAATCCCAAGGGCATCAGGGCCCTCTCACGCCTAGCACAAGGTGTCTTGCCCAGCACTAAGGTATGGTAGAGACTCCTCTAAAGAATCATGCCCGACATGGTAAGTTTCACACTTGGCGCCATATTAGTTGAGGTCCCAACACTCCATTTATTGATATCACGTCCAAAGCCACCTCCTCCACACCCAACGCCATTCACCCAAAGACCCCAATCCCACTTCATGCCAGCATGACCAACTTCATGCTTGGTGTGATTATGATACTTAGGCCTTTGATGAATGTCCACTCGGTGCAGATTCAAACTCCAACAACCCATTTTCGAAAATTTTCATCATAACCAGCAATCTAAGTAAAATCCAACACATGCAATCCTCAAACATACCAGCATTAACAATAATCAACAGAAAAACTCCAATAAAAACATGCAACCACAAATCAACTCCAAAATCATCTCATTCTCCAAGACAACCTGAAAACCCCCAAATCTTCACCTCAACTTACTCAAATTAATCTACATTATTACTGGAAAATCAATCCTACCAATACAACACTTTAATTACAACTCAAGAATTCAACTTTCCTTACCTCGGACGAAACAAAGCCGAATCTTCAAGCTACACCGAGGAGGAAAAGAAGAAAACTCAACTTTGTACGACTTCAAAGTTTTGATTCAAGCTTCTCCACTACCTGAACCACAAACATCACAACTTAGAAAAAAGTCAGAGAAGAAAAGAGAAGAAGACCGAGAGATGAGAACTCACAGATCAGAGTCATTCTCTCTAGAATTCCTCTCTACAACTCAGGGTCTCACACATAATTTTTTTATATTTTGAGAATTAAAAGTATAAATTTTTAATTTTAAAAAAATTATTAAATTTGAGAAATTAAAAATATATTTAAATTAATATAATATTATTTGTTTTGTAATTTGCTAACGATCGATCCTTTTATTGAAACTGTAGGTTGTAAATGCCACGGAAAAAGTAGATACCTAATATCAATTCTTTTGTCTACTAATAGTTTCAAATAGGACTGTCAAAACGGGTCAGCCTAGCCCGTTTGGCCTGGCCCACCTCAACCCGCTTTTTAAGTGGGCCAACTCGGCCCGACCCACCAAATTTATTATGCAAATTTTTCTAACCCGGCCCGGCGCACCACGGGTTGGTGGGTTAAACAGGCTGCCCACCAACCCACCTAATTTTTTTTAAATAAATTATAATTTAAAATAAATTTCAATATAAAATAATATATAATCTAAAGTAAAAATTATCAAACTAACTAACATGGATACAACATTAAAATTAAATTAAAAAGTGTACAACTTTAAAAAAATTAAAACAAAAAAAATAAAAATTCTTTCATGAGAGTGATTATTCATCAATATTAAATTTTATTGGAGGTTTGGGTAGATAAATTTATAACAATTTCATATTGTTTAACATTGATTTTATCTTTATCTATAAAAAAATGATATCTTATTAAAATAATGCATATATAATAATAAATAGTTAAGTGAGTTGTTAGTGAGTTAAGTTGATGAGTTGGTAAGTGGGTCAGGTGGGCCGTCCATTCAGTACGGGTTTAACCCGGGTGGGCTGGGTCACATTTTTTGACCCATCATAAATTTTATCATGTTTTTGGTCCAGCCTGACCCGTTTTCAAGGTGAGTCAGATTGATCCACGGACTATAGTCCACTTTGACAACTCTAGTTTCAAATTTGTTACCTGCCTTAATATACGGTATGAGTTGTACATCAGATGCGTTTATAATTATAGATTTAGGACTAAAGTTTAATCGACGGTCACGTTACGGGAAAATAATTAAATAAATGTTTATCAAATAGGAACATTCATATCACTTCTAATATTTTAAAACTGAAACATCTTTAATTTTAAATTGTAAAATTAAATTAAATGTGCTACATATTTAAATTTTGATTTATTTATCAATTGAAAAGGATAAAAATACAAAATATATATGATCAAATGAAAAGGATAAAAATGCAAATATATATGGTAAAAAAATCAAAATATATGCAGCAATTATTAAAACTATAAGGATCCTAATTTTAATTTTTAATGTTTATTTGATATTTAAATTAAATTATAAAGCGTATACTAAACAATTATATAATTAAATTTGTACTTTTTGGTTAGTTGAAAATAATTAATTCTTCATTGTTATTAAAATCAAACACTATTCTGTTTTTTTTTATATTATTTATTAGAAATAATCCTTCATAAATTATATTAAGTAATTTACCCTGATTTTTTCATTTTCTTGTTTTTTAAGTTTTAAAGTTTCTAGTATTTTCACAACCCTAAATAAATGTAAACGAGAATTTTGAGATAAAATGTGAGAGGATTGTAATTACTGTGTCTCTAGTAATAGGTTGTACAAATTGTTTTTTTTTTAGGCAAAGATATTAGTAATTGAAGGAACAAACTGGGCTCAATACTTTGTTTGTACTCTAAAATTATACATACCAATTTTGAAATTATATATATATATATATCAAACTTGCAAATTTTTTAAAAAAAATTAAAAACTATTTAATATTTCATTTTTTTAATTCAAATTTATGTATAAAATATTTTTATAATTATTTATTAATTTAAATTAATAAAATAAAATATTAAATAATTTTTAATTTTCTTAAAAATTTATAAACTTAATCTATACAATAAAAATATTTAATTTAATAGTTGAATCATTAAAATTTAATTAAAATTCAAGTTATTAAAAAGAATTGAAATTTAATCTAAGCAAACTCATTCATAATGTAAATCAATCTCATATATATATATATATATAGGGAGCATATCAAGTGAGAGGAAATTTATTATGAAAGATGAGAGGGTTAAAATATAACCCTTAGATTAATTTTCTTTCACTTGATTAAACTCCAAATTTTCTCACACTTAATTAATCTAAGGGTTATATTTTAACCCTCTCATCTCTCATAATAAATTTCCTCTCACTTGATATGCTCCCTATATATATATATGTGTGTGTGTGTGTGTGTGCGTGTGTTGATCTACTTACTCCAAGAATAAGTTTTGTTAGATTTACTCCACTTCATAATTCATATTCTATATCAAAATTTTAACAATCCAACTATTGAATTA